TCCAGTAAACTTAGGGCATGGGAAACACCAAAGAAACCAACTACTACATGCTATAGTGCTATAATAGCTCCACAGGCGGAGCTATTTTGGCTGCAGAAAGTACCCAGAACTAGCTTTCAAAAATAATTCCAAAAGGAGGTAGCAATGAGGCCAACCTCTGAAGGACAAACTTGTCTTAGCAAAGGCAAGGCTAGGTGTGTAGATGGGATCAACCCATAAGTGAAAACCCATGCATAATAACTTTAGCTCAGGGTGAATAGGATGACAACCACTCCACCCACAGTCAGCTACCTGGGTCTGCTGGCAATAATGCTCTGCCAAGGCTCAAATCACCTCAGTGTCCCCTAAGTAATGCACAGAGGGCTTTTTCTAAAACCAAGTTGGTTCTAAACCTTAGCAGTTGTCCCTTGGTGAACACAGATGTAAATTTCTGCCTACTATAAAGACATATATTGACTTAGTTTAAAAAGCAGAATATAAATTCCATTGCCCTACTTCCATCATCACATGTAGTATCTATTTTCTTTTTTCTTTCTTTGCAGTTGACCTGGTAACATAAGATGCCTAGTTTTAAGGTCATTTAAATTTAATTTTAGATTAAAATTTTTGTTTATCACCATTTTAGTAACCATCTCATAATATTAATGAAATTAATAACAACACTGAAGCATTTAATCCTAGAAAAGGTAAAACTTGGGAATAATGCCATTGATTCACCCAAAATATGAACCTTTGTAATGATGTGCCTCCATTTCCCCCTCTGCTATATAGAGATTATGGTCTTGAAAATAATGTTAAATTGGATATAATATCCTTCTGCTATGAGTATAATTACCAGCAACCTACAATATACTTTCAAGAACTGGAAATGGTTAGCATAGATATTCTATTTCCAAATATCTATTATTCAAAATAATTCTACAAAAGAAGATGCTTTGTGTACCTATAAGTTCATTAATTCACTAATAATAGTTTAAAATGGGAAAATTACAGGCATCAGAATAGGAAATGATTAAGTATCATAATTCCATGTGACAGGCTACTCTACATTATGAATAATAATACTGAAATTATTATACAGAAAATAAACTTTAAATTGTGTGAAACGAAATGCTAGAAATTACTCAATTTTCATTGTCACCAAGGCTTTCTGTGTGTCTGCAGTGACTTTCTTTATAGTCTTTCTACCTTGACCATGATGAGAAGACACCCGTTGAAGGTATCTTCCCTAGCAGACATTGAAGAAGCCAAAGGAGAAAAAAGTTTCTGCCAAGTGCAGCAAGCAAAACAACAACAACAAAAAACTGGAAATAAGAGACAGATTATAGGAAAAAGTATCCCAGAGTATGAAAGTACTATGAAAATACAAGCTATTATTATTACAAAATTCATTATAAATAGTGTACAACTGAAAGTCTTTAGCCATAAGTGCTCAGGAAAAAAATTCAGAACATGCTTTGCTTGCTAAGCTCAAAAGATGCTCTTGGAGGAAAACAAGTCCTTCTTTTAAAATAGAATCAGCTAGAGCCACCTTGGTTCATCTCTTTCACACTAGACTTTCTTCTAACTTTAAATGCTATTTGACTTTTTTTGTCAGAGACAACTTGTGGAATGTTCTGAGACCAGTGTGGAATTTTATTTATAAAGCGGTGTTAGTTTCAATAGGGAGCACTGTCCCAGGCATCTACTGAATGGACAGATTGTCAACGCGGCCTTCCCCAAACATCCTCAGCCATGGGGGAGAGGGGGGTCACCCAGGATGGCCGTGACGAGGCCCAGCCACTTGTCCTTTCAGAGACAAAAGTACCCCCTTTCCAGTTTTCCGGTATTTAAAATCTAGTTTTAGCATATTGTTGGAAGAAGAGCTGGGAGGATCCACATGGATCTGGTCAGTAGGAATGAAAACAGAAATTAGGAAATTGGGAATGAAAACCCCGATGGAGGCGAATTCCCTAAGCCAACATCCAAGTGAGGGTCTATTTAAAAGTAAACCAGGTCTGACAAGGCTGAGATTTTCCTTTTTAAAATCTGAAAAATTAGTTGTCAGCAGGGCCAAATATTAAACAGGAAATTCAGCACCCAAAGATATTTACATAATAGAATTATGAAAACAAGCATTCTCCTAATACAAAATGCTATATGCAAAACATTAGCATCACAGTAAGCAAATATATTGATATTATCCAGACCTTAGTTCATTAATGTGTAAGAATTGTGAACATCGCTAAATCACGTAAGCACCCTTCCCCCAGCTACAGCAGCCACATCTGTAAAATGGGGCAAAATGCTGTATTTGGAAACAGGACTTTCTACCAACTCACTGTGAACTCAAAGAAATATAAATGTCCCTCATTCCTCTAGGCCAGTGGTGGCAAACCCTCACCGTCAGTACGTGAGCCAAGTCACCCCAGCAGCTGAGCATCAGATCACAGTTGTGTTTTCTAATCTAAAACCTCAGTATTCAGGTTTAGTTGCAATGTTGGCACTTTGTGACAAGTAAGTTGCAGTTTGGGCCCTTGGTCTCTAAAAGTTTCGCCATCACTTCTCTAGGCTACGTATTAACACAGAGAAGAATAAATGCAAATAGTTTATCATCGGGAATCTGTCAAGTATGATAAAGTTATGATAGATAAATGGGCATCTTGTCTTTTTTGAAGGCTGCACTTTAACCTCATGGCAGTCTGCCGCCTGCCTCGCAAGCCCAAGGACCCAAGTTCGATCCCCGGTACCCCCCCCAAAAAAAAGAGGATTATTAACCACGTGGCAGAGGCAAACAATATCAAGCTATTAGATTCTATAACTGGGCCATTATTTTTCTTGGGTGTTATTTCCTTTTTCCAAATGTTCAGACACAGCAGACATATAAAATTAATGCTTGCATGTTACTTTGTTAAAATACAGGAGAAACAAAACAAAACAAAACAGATGAAATAATTTTCTCTCCTTTCCTAACATTCAGTCTTATAGCTTCCTCTTAAATCTTTCAGGTTCATTTTTTTTTTTCTTGAGTTATTTGTTCTGGAAGTTGTCTGAGGTTCATCTATGATTTGCCTGATTTTTTCCTCAATTTTCCCATATGCTATAAGCAAGAACATTTCCACCTAAAAGGGGGAAAGAATTAGTAATGAATTTTCCTGTGTTTCACAGTGTGGCAAGCCGAATAATGGCACTCCAAGGATGTCAACATTTCTAATCCCCAGAATTTGTGGCTGTGACGCTTTACATACAGGAGGGACTTCCAGATGAGAGTGAGGATCCTGAGATGCGGAGATCATCGTGGAGTGTATTGGTCCAGCTGTAATCACTCACAAGGGTCCTCGTAAGAGGGAAATGGGAGAGGTCAGAAGAGAGAAGGTGATGTGGTCACAGAAGCAGAGGCCAGAGTGATACCATTGCTGGAAAGGAGCTGTGAGCCAGGAATGTGGAAATGCCCTAGAAGCTCCGATCGGCAAGGAACAGTTTCGCCCTTAGAGCCTCCGGAAGGAACGCAGTTCTGCTAACATCTTAATTTTTACTTCAAAGACCAATTTTCAGATTTCTGACCTCCAAAACAGCTAGGTAACTTCTTCCAAGTTCATGGGGACATGTTAGAGGCACAACAGGAAATAGTTACAGTGACCTGGAAATGTTCACAATCGCTAAACCAAAAGGTTGTTAGTTTTTAGTCCAGATAGGTGAATGCTAAAAATTCAGAGCAGTAGAAGCATTTGATTAATACCAGATTTACAAGGTAAGGAAGACCACCCTGATAATCATGTTCATGATCATCCCCATGAGCTTATTCCTTTGACAATTCTTATCCTAATTATGGGTTTCAATTTGACCAATAAACCAGCTCTTTGGAAGGCCGGTAAGCTCATGGGAAATAGTAAGCTCATTTACTGTTCTAGAACCAACAGTCATCTCTTCAGATGATTTCATCAATGAGTCAGGCAACACCTTAGGGAGGGAGGAGAGGGGAAGACTTCTGCTGAGCTGCAGAGGGGTAGCCATACACGGCTGGGAGGAGACTGCTCGGATTTTGAGAAGCCAAACGCCAAGCACCCTGTCCTTTATGGGTGTGGGGGATTGCACGCAGTACTTCTCAATGACAAAGAACTGTCCAGAGCTGCCTAGAATGAAATCTGGAAACAGAATAAAAGTCTTTAGGTTACCCATAAATTTAAGAAAAACTAACAGTATCACTCCTTGGCCTTTCAGTTAAGATCAAGTAAAGAAAAGCCAGCATAAGTTGCTAGCTTCAGAACCAACTCAGAAATAACTCATCTACCAGACCCAATTCAATTAAAGCAATTAAAAGCATAGGCTTTAGAATTGGGTAGTTTCAGGCTTTATTTGTTCCTTAGCTGTGTGTACCACCCTGGACAAATTAGTCATCCTGTCTTAAATTCAATTTTCTTGTCATAAAAATGGGTGTAATAACATTTGCCTCTATCCAGAACGGATGTAGTCAATTTTGACATCATGTTACGGATAAATAAGCATTGAAAAATAAACCAAAGATTGGGGGGACCAAAGAACCACAGTAATTCTACCTTTGACTTTTTGTAAACCAGATAACTTCAGTTTTACCATATGGCTGATATATTTTGATATTTTTAAAACATCAGTATTAATTTTAAGTCGGCAGAGGTAACCTAACCAACTACCATTATGTTTGATACCAGAAGATATATCTTTCAATAGAATTATTTTTGTTTTGTTGTTGTTTGGTACTAGGGATTGAACTCGGGTCCTTGTGCTTGCAAGGCAGGCGGCAGAACCACTGAGCTAAATCCCTGGCCTTTTTCAATAAAATTATTAATTGCAAAAGAAATTTTTGTTTGTTTGTTTGTTTGAGACAGGGTCTCACTATGTAACTGAGACTGACCTGGAACTCACTATGTAGCCCAGGCTGGTCTTGAACTTGCAGTGATCCTCCTGCCTCAGCCTCCCAAGTTCTGGGATTACAGGCGTGTGCCACTACACCCGGCTCAAAAGAAATTTTTAATAACATTTACCTCATAGAGCTATGAGGATTCAGTGAAATAAAGTATACATAGAGATTAGTGCCCAGTGCAAGCTTAATAAGTGGTAGCGATTACAGTTAATTTTATTCCCAGAAGCCCCCAGGTTGTGTTTTCCACAGTGCTCCGAGAGGAGCCTTAGCCTCACTTGATTAATATTATACATGATATGAATATAAAACCTGGAAAGGTAGAAACCCAGCCTCATTAACTGTTTTATACTTAGCAAATAGAACAGTGTCTAGCCTATTTGGGGTTCTCACATTTTTAATAAATGTTTGTGAACTAATCTGACATATGAGTTAAGAAGGATCTGAGACATCAGCCACAAGCTATAATTACAGGATTTTTTCCAACTGTGACCCATTAGGTGGAGAAATAAACTAAATGAATCATAACCAGCAAACCAGCATTTGTTTTCAAAGGAAAACAAATAGAATAAATAATCAGTACAAAACACATAGTAAATTATTGCTACATGAAACTGTTATTTGTTACATGTGAGCATATTTGGTTGCAATGTAAAATTCATTTTCTGTTGTAGGTAGGGGCTTTAAAAAGTGTGAACATTCTGAGGATTCCATCTTGCCAACATTTGGTATTTTTTAACCTTTCAATTTCAGCCATTCTGATATGTGTGTAGCATGGTGTCACTGTGTTTTAATTTGCATTTTTCTGATGACTAGTGATACGGAGTACCTTTTTACTACCTTTAGGACATTTTCATAATTTTTCCCCATTAAGTTTCTTGGTACGTTTAAAGCAAACAACACAGTTACATTTATCATTGGGATCTTGTACCTTTACGTGATGTGTCTTGGTTCTTATTTATTCCCCATATCCCTGCTCTCCCTTCGCCTCCTTCACCCTTCCCTATTTACAAAGACTTTGTTTCCATTTAGGACATTTTCTTTAGAAACCTCCTTTGTAACCACTTTGTTGGCAATATTTGGCAGTATTTACTAAAGCTGGACATGAATTCCTTGCTATTCAGTAATTCTACTTCTGCTATGTATAATTTATTTACCCAATAGAAATTTGTACATATATTCACAAAAAAATATACACAAATGTTCATAGCAATGTAATAGCCCCAAACTGGAAATTGCCTAAATATATTTTAATAACAGAATGGATAAATCAGTATATTTACACACAATAAATCCTATGTAGAAGCAAGAATAAAGGAACCACTACTGCACACACCAATGTAGAAAAATCTCCAAAAGGTAAATTAAGTGAAAGGATAAAAAGTAAAGAATATACAATTTCATTTACACAAAGTTCAAAACTGTGCAAAAATTATCTATGGTGCTAAAAATCAAGATAATGGTTGTCCTTGGAATCGTACTAAGCATTTAAGTAATGTTCTCATTCTTGATCTGGGAACCTATCACATGGATAGACTCAGTCTAGGAAGTTAAGTGGAGTGTAAACATATAATTTGTAATTTTCTGAATTATTCTGGATTTGTCTATAATTGTTATTTGTAAACATTTTTAAAGTTAATAAATAATACTTTTTTGAGAGTCTGGTGGTGGAATCCAGAGCTTGAACATGACTACTTTTCTTAAAGTGAGAAAAATACTGATGGAGATCAAGAATCCCTGACACGCAACTCTCATTACCATCAAGGGGCCACCTGGCTTTTGCTCTGATAACTCCAAGGTCAGAGATCTCCTTACTGTTGAGGTGGCTCACTGTTTAGAAAGCTCTTTCCTTTCTCTAAGCCAAAACTTTCTCCCCATAACCTCACAACTTGCTCCTATCAGTTGCTTGGTTCTCCAAAGAGATGTTAAATGGATCTAACCCTTCTACCACCAGCTGCTCTTCAGATCTCTGAGGAGAACTCCCCAGCCCCTCAGTCTTCTCCAGACTGAAGAGCCCCAGGTCCTTTGGCTAGGGTCAAGGCCATGGCTTTGGGTCTCTTCCTGTCTCCCAATGGCGCTTTTTAAATATAGAGATTCCCAATACGGACCCTAGCCCTCTAGAACAGAGAGGCCTGAAAAGAGCAGAAAAGGGCTAACAAGTAGGGTCAACACTTAGAAATCTCCACAGTACATTTCACCTACCAGGCTTCGCTGTGCCCTGTCCTTACATTCACACTAGACTGTTCATGCTGTGGAACCAAAATGGCCCAGGTCTTTTGTGTAAGAACGGTAGAGCCCCAAATTTAAGTCTGTGATGGTGGCGTGTTCCCTGTCTGGGGAGGCAGTACACTCTTCGGCCCCACTCCAATTCTCCGGGGCTAAATCCAGGAGAAGCAAGAGTGGCTATTATGGAAAGCCTCTGGAATACGGCCTCCCCACCCGCACTGGCCCCAAAGAAAAATTAAGTCTTTCTCCTTACTACTCCTGAAAAGAACTTTATGTTAAAGTATACTTGGGAGAAGGTGTGAGGATGGAGAAAACAGCATCAAGCATCTCCGAAATCTGACCCTAGAGCAGAAGGACGCTCAGCCAGGTCTGAGCAGCGTGGAGCCTTCTGATCTTTTTCTCCTTCCCTCTCTCAAAGTCACTCCAAAAGAAAGCCCCGGAGGAGAGCTGCTTTTGCCTTTGTGTAACTAACAGAGGGTGAGGTCGAGGAGGAAAACGTGGCAGGGTCAGAATGAATCTGATACTGCTCAAAGTAACGGAAATCAAAGGTATCCCTAAAGACCCACCGGGATCCCTCTGGTCTGCAGAAAAGAGAAGCCAACACCAGGAAACCACAGAGACATTTCTACCAAAACTTCCAGGCAGCCTCATTGGATATTTTTAACATCAAGAGTAGGTGGAAGGAAGATTCACTGAGCAAGGGAACCACCAGAGACCAGAACGTGTGCAGGGGGGGTCGGAGAGGTGGGCTGGGATCCGGGAGGGCGGCAGGACGGAAGAGACAAGCTGTCGAAGCCCCTAGGGGTGAGGGGCGACCCTTCCCCCGGCCCTGGGAAGGGGAGAGAGGGACCCCGAGTCCCCGCGCGAACGCGGCGAGAGGGAGGCGGCTCACCTACCTCGCCCACGTCCGCTCCATGTTCCAGGCGCTTTCCTTCCCCTCGGGGCTCCTCACCCGGGAGTGGAAGCCGCCTGGGAAAATGAGACGCCGGGCCCGCGGGACTCCAGTGCAGAAAGCCCCAGCTTCTTCCTCCCCAGCTCCCCGCTGCTTCCTCGGGAGAGCGATCGGCCGGGCCCGCGGACCGCACAAGGGAGCTCTGTGCTCGGGAGGGCGCGGACGAGCGCGCACTCGCTGGGGC